TGGAAAACCCTACAAGGAGATTGGAGAAAATCACCAGGCGTATAAAATTTTGAGTAACTGCTTAGTTAATGCCTCTTCCCAACTCATTCTTTTTCAGACAAAGGAAGAAGTGGGATTCACCCACATTGGCAGTATAGATATTTGGACAAATGAGGTGAGTTTTTTTTTTTTTTTTTAAATATATTTCATTGATTTTTTACAGAGAAGAAGGGAGAGGGATAGAGAGCCAGAAACATTGATGAGAGAGATCGATCAGCTGCCTCTTGCACGCCCCCCACTGGGGATGTGCCCGCAACCAAGGTACATGCCCTTGACGGGAATAGAACCCGGGACCCTTCAGTCCACAGGCCAATGCTCTATCCACTGAGCCAAACCGGTTCGGCAGTACTTGGAAGCCCTTGTGGGATCCCTTCTCCACTGCATCTCATTTGCTAGCTTGACTTTTGTGATAACCATTCCCTTAGTTTTAGTCATAGTTTTAGCACTCATATATGTAATCTCAAATAATATATGGTTTGGTTTTGCCTATTTTAAACTTTATTTATAAATAAAACATTTGCCAGGTCTGCATGGCTCAGTTAGTTGAGTATTGTCCTGTGCACCAAAAGGTTGCCGGTTCGATTTCCGGTCAGGACACATACCTTGGTTGTGGGTTTGATCCCTGGTTGGGGGCATGTATGGGAGGCAACCAGTCGATGTTTCTCTTTCACATCAATGTTTCTCTCTCCCCTCCTTTCTCTAAGCATGTCCTCAGGTGAGGATTAAAAAACAAACAAAACAAACACATTCTGGAACATTATGGAACATTCTTCTACTCCACATTATGAAATATATCTATGTTGATACCTGTAGCTACAGTTTGTTAGTCTTGTTATATATTACACTGTATGATTATAATACACTAGAGGCCTGGTGCCTGAAATTCATGCACTCAGGAGGGTTGGGGGGTCCCTCAGCCTGGCCTGCGCCCTCTTGCAGTCTGGGAGCCCTCAGGGGATGTCCGACTGCGGCTGAGGCAGGAGAAGCTCCTGCCACCACCACTGCATACACCAGCTGTGAGCCTGTAGGAGCGCACTGACCACCAGGGGGCAGCTCCTGTGTTGAGTGTCTGCCCCCTGGTGGTCAGTGCAGGTCATAGCAACCGGTCATTCCACTGTTGGGCCAAAACTGGCTCTCCGATATCCCCCGAGGAGTCCCGGATTGCAAGAGGACACAGGCCAAGCTGAGGGACCCCACCAGTGTACGATCGGGGCAGGGAGGGATACGGGAGGTTGGCCAGTCAGGGAGGGACCACAGGAGGGCTCCAGGGCATGTGTGGCCCATCTCACTCAGTCTCAATGGGCCAGACCCCAGCAGCAAGCTAACCTACCAGTCAGAGCATCTGCCCCCTGGTGATCAGAGCACATCATAGTGATTGGTCAGCGGGTCGACTGTCTGCCCCCTGGTGGTCAGTGTACATCATAGTGACTGGTCAACCGGTCGACTGTCTGCCCCCTGGTGGTCAGTGCACGTCATAGTGAGCGGTTGAGCTGCCTTAGCATATCATTAGCATATTACGCTTTGATTGGTTGAACAGCCGACTGGCTACCTGGACACTTAGCATATTAGGCTTTTATTATATAGGATTTTATTTATCTACTCTACCTTTGATGGTCATTGCAGTTGTTCCTAGATTTTTTTTGTAAAATAAATTCATGTTCCCATGACTATAAATGAGGAAAAGTACCTTTTTACATGTTTATTGGCTATTTTTGCTTCCTCTTTATGAAACGCCCAATTGTGGGGTATCTTCCCCTTCAGATCCAAGCTCTACTCTTCTCCTGCTCTGTGTCCTTGAAAGCTCACCTGTATCAGTTGCTCAAGAAGGCTCCAGTGCCCTCAGGCTTCTGTTTTTGTTTTGTTTTAAAATTTCTTTATTAAGGTATTACATATGTGTCCTTATCCCACCATCAGGCTTCTGTTTTGGTTTGCCCTAAGGGAGACCCCTACCAGGCGGTAAGAGTCAGAAAAAGATGGGGTGGGGATGCCTTAGCTCTCTCTGTGCTGGGTGACTGGCACTGTGCAGGTTGGCTGACACTCTCTTGATCTCACTAATTGTTCTCTTCCTTTGCCCCTTTAGGCCTTTTAGAAAGCATACACTACTCCCACGGTCATGAACATATTCTTCTGTATCTTCTAAAAGCTTTATAGTTTTACATTTGATATTTAAGTTTAAAAATCTACCTGGAATTGATTTTATGCATGATATAAGGCAGAGGGTTCAATTTAACTTTCTTCCATAAAACTATCACCCAGTCACCCCAGGTCCATTTGGTGAAAAGACTATTCAGTCCCCACGGTTCTGTGGTGGTCCCTTTGTCATATATAAAGTGAACATATGTAAGTCTGTTTCTATGCTCACTCTTCTATTCTACTGGTATATTTGTCTATCCCTCCATTAACATTCCCAATGTCTTAATTGCTATAGCTTTAGAATAAGTTTTAATCTTTCAAGGGGCAAGTTCTTTTTAAGGCTATTCTTGACCCTTGGCATTTCTATATTAATGTTTATAATCAGCTTATAACAATCCAGAAGAAATTCTGCTGGGATTTTTATTGAGATTGTACTATATCTAAAGATTATTTTGAGAAGAATTGATAGCAGGCTTATCTTATTCCAAATCTAAGAGAATGCTTGTGACTTTCACCATTAAGTATAATGTTAGCTAGAAGACTGTTTTTATTTTTTTAATCCTCACCCGAGGATATTTTCCTTTGATTTCTTTTTTAGAGAGTGGAAGAGAGAGGGAAAGACAGAGAGAAATATTAGTTGCCTCCTGCACAAACCCTGACCAGGGCTCTGACCACGCCCTCCCCCTGCCCCCGCCTTCTCCCCAGGGCCTAGGCCAGGGAGGAGCCTGCAACAGAGGTATGTGTCCTTTACTGGAAGTGAACCCGGGATCCTTCAGTCTGGAAGCTGATGCTCTATCCCAGCCGTGGGCAAACTACGGCCCACGGGCCGGATCCGGCCCATTTGAAATGAATAAAACTAAAAAATAAAAAAAAAGACCGTACCCTTTTATGTCATGATGTTTACTTTGAATTTATATTAGTTCACACAAACACTCCATCCATGCTTTTGTTCCGGCCTTCCGGTCCAGTTTAAGAACCCATTGTGGCCCTCGAGTCAAAAAGTTTGCCCACCCCTGCTCTATCCACTAAGCCAAACCGGCTAGAGCTAGAAGATTGTTTTTTAGACATCCCTTTCAAGTTAAGGGAATTGCATCTGTTCTTAGTTTGCTAATGGCTTTTACCATAAATAGATGTTGAATTTTATCAAATGCTTTTGTGTATCTATCAGGGTAGTATTTTTTCCCTTTAATCTGTTAATGTAGTAGATTTCAATAGTTCATTATTATCATAATTTATGTTAAATCATACATATATTAGCTTTTTTATTTAATCAAATATTAACCAAAATAATTAATAAGCATACAAGTTATATGAAAGTTACTTTTAAGAAGAGAATTTAGTGCAATGGGAAGAAGAATGACTACAAAGACAGGGGTAAAAATAAAATTAAAGCCTGTAAGTACTGGATTGGGCAAAGCTCTTAACTTCTCTGGATTCCACAACTTTAAGTTGGGTAAATAATACAGCTATACTTCCCCAATAAGTATAACTATAAAATAAAGTAATATATGGGAAGTTTAAGAGACTTAAAAAATCAACACATTTAAGTCTCCATATATTATTTTGATAGCTTAGGAAGATAGATTAGGTTGAACAATATGAAATAGCTGATTATTCATCCATTTTTGACCCACACAAATGGCAAATTCACATGGTTTGATCTAAGAGAATTATTTTTAGAAATTAATTAAAGTTTAAAGTCTTTCCTTACCACTTCAGAAGCTCCTGCCCTGCACTAATTTCTTACCTGAGTAATCCTCTTTAGTTCAAGACCATACATAGAACATGGCTTCAGTAAGAACAGTCGGAGACATTACAGGATACTAAGCTCTTGCACTTGGGCCCTGTAGCCGCACCGACAGCTTACCATTTCCACACCAAAGCAAATATAGAATCTGAGAGCTTAGTCACTATGATGCTAAAAACATGTGATTTTAAAACCTTTCAATTTAAAAATACTGTGAAACAATGTTCCATTGGATTCATGGCACTGCAAAGGAAACATTACAGAATTATTTCTTATTACTCTTCCCCACAATTATAGTACCTGGCCAGCTCATCTAAAATTTTATTCCTCATGTTGTTGTTGCAGCAAGTACTCTGATCAATAACATCAATAGTCAGAGGAGGCCATTTGTTCTGCTGAAGTGAAGAATAACTATTCTGGGTTTGAAATTCTCCAATCCACGAGGTAATGCTTAGCCAATCATGGCGAGCTGTGAGGTATCTCCAGAGGGCTTCAGGGGAATATGATTTATATTCTACATTAAGAACAAAATACATTTTAAAATAGCAATGAGTTATGATTATTGACACAAAGCTCAACACTAATCAACTGAGTAAATATGACAAAATGGACAAATATTTATATGTGAATATGCAGGCCCTTTTCTTCTTCTACTACTTTCCTCTTTTATGTTGCTGTTCATTTTATAATCAATATTCAGCTGGAGGAAGAGCAAAATGTTGCTTATTAGTACAGTTGTTAAATAAAACTTGGGAATTAGCTATCTGTTTCATTTATCTTTTCAGGTCTCTTTCCCCCTTTTCTTTTTCTTAATATAAATGAAAACTTTGGCTATAATAATAAACATGAATTTGACACTCTCTGAATTACCATTGTTTACCATTGTTAGTTATTCCCTGGAACCCCAATTGATATAGATCTTTAGTTTACACAAGAAGAAACTCAGACTATTGGGAAAAATAAAGAATGTCACTTTGAGGCAAACAAGAGAACTCAGCCTTGAAGTCTCAATTTACTGAAACATACAACTTTTTTCTTTCACTATTACAAGTCCCTAACAGAAACCTTAAGATAAGAAGTCTTACTGACTTGAATTTTAAAGCAATTGAATTTTTCCCCCCAAAGGAATTCTAAAATGGAGAGACGCCAAAATATACGACAGCTTAATTTAATACTCATTCAATATGTTCAGATTTCAGGCTTTCTCACACTTGCCTTCTGGATTTATCCTGGGAAGGAGGATAGATTCTTGTGTTAGTTGGTTCCACCACTGAGCCCAATTTAATGCAATTCTGTGGTTCTGTTTATTAAGTTTATCTTTATGATCGTATTTCAGGAATGAGTCCAAAACAGACTTGTGCTTGAAAAAGTCTTGCTCCATTACCCAATACCTGAAACAGTGATATAGTTTTTTTTTAATTTTGAAGGAAAAAGCAGCATTTCTCTTTATCTGCTCAAAAATTATTATTCTTTTGGGGAACACATACTTTAATACTCATAATGTTATATTTATTATCTTAAAAAATATATCTGATTATGTGCATATTGAAAGAACAGGAAATTCCTGAGTCACTTCTGGACAAGTTTTACCTTTATAAGGAATATAAGCTCAGTTCCACAGAAGAAATCTGTGCTCACTAACAATTAAAAACTAAACACGATCTAAAATATTCTTCCCATGTTACCAAAAGGGGGCTAATGAGACTACCTGGGAAAGGACTGGATCTGCATATTTTCTTGCAAATGTTCTGAATAAAACTTCTCAACTTGATGCACCAAGTCTATAGTTCTTTTCTCTTTTTCAGAAAAAGAATTTTTTTCTTTTAAAATTTCAACCTTGAATAAAAAGTAAAGCAGTGACGTCACAAAAATCAAGTACATTGCAAAACAAATGTCATGAAATTACATGCCACTTAAGAATTGTATTTTGAATTTTTGAAGTAATGTATATATTCACACAAATTTTCCTTTACCACAAAGGCAAAGTGATCATTTAAAAAGATAAAGAAGTTGTCTTACTTTTACTTACTGGATATTAGTTGAATTTTAAAATAATTTATTTTAAAATTTCACCAGGTTTACTAGAAAATGTAAAGTACATAGTCTCACCATTACCTACCAAAAAGTCCCGTATATTTTTATCAGTTGTATAGAAGCATATCTTGAGCAACTGGTCTTTTACATCAAAGCCCTACAATAAACATAGAAAAAACTTAATTTTGTAATGGAGCTATTTTAAATATAAATATATATGTTGTATACAGAAATACTCTGTTACACACGTGTATAAAATTCCACAGTTTTCCTGCTCTTGTGAACATTCATTTTCTACATTTATCATACATATTTACTGCCTCTGCCTAAAGTCCTTAAGCATTTTGCCAGAATAAAGGCGGCACATCGAACAATTTAAGGTAATAACAGGCTACCATTGGACCAAAACTACAGGTATCTGCTATGATGGTTCACTTAAAAACAACAGTCAATACAAATAACAACTCTTACGTAGTTTCACTCCTCTACACTTCCAGAAAGTTGCCATGGCTAAGACCTTGACCATGAAGATTAGAGCCACAACTTAGTTTAGTCTAGGAGTCCTACCTCTAGGATTTCTCCTCCTTAAATGAAGTAAAACCATGGAGCACAAAGCAAAGATATAGGCTATTAGAAAATTCAAATGGAGGTGTAAGCGGTCACATGCACAATATAGAATTTCCCCCAACAAATAATAAGATCCTGTGCAGGCTTGGCCTTGTGTGAATCCTTCGACGAAAAACACTGCCTACTTCGAACCAAAGTGCTAAGTCCAACAGGGAGCAAATGATGGAAACTTGAATCAAAAATATCTTCAAGAGCCCGGCCAGTGTTGTTCAGTGATTGAGCATCGACCTATGAACCAGGAGATCACAGTTCCATTCCCGGTCAGGGCACATGCCCAGTTGCAGGCTTGATCCCCAGTATGGGATATGCAGGAAGTAGCTGATCAATGATTCTCTCTCATCATTGATGTTTCTATCTCTCCCTCTTCCTTCCTATCTGATATCAATAAAAATATATTTAAAAAATATATATCCTCAAGAAAGTTCTCAGTACCCAAAAACCATTTTAGTATCACTATCATTATTTCCTACTAAAAGCTACACAAATTTCTCAGTCTGTGATACAACTATGAATACAAATCAATTCTTTTTTTTGGGGGGGGGGAGTGTAAAATTTTGGCTTTATTATTTTCTATTCAGTAGGTCAACTCAAGCTCCTGTCTATATCTTGTGGGGTGGGGAAGGCCGGGCCTTGGTCAACTGTGGCCTTTCAAGTTACAAATCAGTAACAGCAGTCCAAAGGTGACCAACACGTGTTGAGTTCATTGCATCATTGTGAACAGAGAAAAATCTATGTGTCCTCCTGACCAGACACCCAAAAGGTTATAAAAGAAATGTAACTAAGCTCCAATTTGAGCATTTGTACTAAAAAATTTAAGCTTCACCTTGGCATTTTTAAAGGATTAAGGCCTTCCATGTTACAAAAATATTCATTCTACCACATCTACATAAAAAGGCTGCACATTCTCATCATATCAGTATGTAGTTCCATTGCAACTATGAGATAAATGACTCACACTGGCTGGAATCAAGTCTGATTTCCCAATGACCAGGGCAGTCATAAATAAATGCTTATATCAACCAGAAACGGTATTAAGTACATAGAGATCTTCTCTTACTTTAAGATCAGACAAACAGATTATGTACTCACCATATTCTTTAAAAGTTCAGAGGCTTCCTTTACATTGTTCTTTTTCAAATTGTCAAAGACCAAATCGAGGCCTATTTTAATCAGCTCTTCGAGTCTTTGAGCAGAGTGACTGTTAATCCTGAAGAAAGTTTGTGCCTCTGGTATTTTGTTGTTTAAAATGGCATTGGCAATAACTTCCTAGGAAAAGGGGTGGGGGTGGGGGGAATCCGCTTTTTAAGTTCCATTTAATGATTATCAGCATGACTTACACATTTATTGAGGACCCACCCACTACAGGACTTTTACTGAAAATCTACTACTACATTTGGGTCTTTGCACAGAGGATATAAAGTTCATTGAAACACAGACCCTGCTGTCCAAGAGCTTTTAGACTAGTAGAAGACATACAAATAAAGTGCTGATTATAGTTCTGTATGATAAAGGAAAGGATACAGGTGTCACCCAGGGTTCTGGAGAGGAGGGTTCAGAAGAGAATCATCTAAATAAGAGAAAAGAAGACAAGAGTTCCAAAAAGAAGGAAAATTATGTGCAGATGTGCAGAGGCATAAAGACAAGAAACAGCATCAAGTCTTCAGGGAACTCCAAATTACTCAATAAAACGGGGGGGGGGGGGGGGTGCGTTTGGGGGGGGAAGCTGGGGAGAGTAGCAGATAAGACTTGAAAGAAAAGCAGAGGAGCGGAGGTTCCATCATGAAGCACGCTGTGTGTGAGATGGATTTTATCCTAAAACTCATGTGGAACACTAAAGGATCTTAAAAGCGTGAGATGGTATAATCATATATTATATACATATATGTATCTATATCAGGAAGAATATTCAGGCAGCAATGTGGAGAATGAACTGAAAGGGATTCAAGGTCAAGACAGTAAGGCATTAGGTTACTGCAATAATATGAGTAAGAAGAAATCAAGCATAAATTGAAGGCCTAAACCCAAGAGAGAATAGAAAGGAAGTAAATCCTATCAAATCATGTGCAAAATTGTGTGTATGTGCACACGCATACATTAACGTGTATGTTTTTGGAGGCAGAGTTCACATAGTTAAAGTAGACTATAATCTCCCTCGAAATTAAAAACCAGTGATTTTGAGTAAAAAGAGCAGAGGACCGTGGATTGAGCCTTGGAAGACATTAAAGGGGGGTGCAAAGTGGAGCAGAAAAGGTGAAACCTGCAAAGGAGACTGAAAAAGAGAAGCCAAAGAAAGTAGAAAAAAAATCAAGTAATTTTTGGTTAGAGAATAAATAAGAGATACAGAAAATGCAGTTACACTAGGTACTTTACTTCCCCATGTCTCCACCCCAAGAACAGCAGTCCTATGAACCTGGCAGCCTTTCAACTTTATCACTTTCACTCCCTATTGATACTGATCAGCTGGGTTAAGTTATTTTGGCCTTTGACTCTCCAAGTGGTTGGAGGGATTCTTTCAGTCCTCGTCTAGTACACTAGACTAGTTTGGTTGTGTTAACCTCTATTATAAAAAGAAAGGCAAGCAAATGAGCACAGAAAATTTAACTGGCAAAATACCTTAACTAGAATCTGAGATAGGACTCAAATCAAGTATGCTTCCAGGTGATAATGTCCCAAAATAAAAGTTTCCTAAGATTGAATCACCAGCAGCAATTCAAATATCAGGCAGAATGCGCAAGTCCAAATGTCAGGCCCTTGCCCAGCCAGTGTTGTTCAGTGGTTGAGTGTCAACCTATAAAGCAGGAGGTCACAGTTCCATTCCCAGTCAGGGTACATGCCCAGGTTGCAAGCTTGATCCCCAGTAGGTGTGTGCAGGAGGCAGCCAATCAATGATTCTCTCTCGTCATTGATGTTTCTCTCTCTCTTTCTCTTCCTCTCTGAAATCAATAAAAATATTTTTTAAAAACAAACAAAAGTCCAGCAGGCTAGAGCAGAGAGAGGAGAGAAGGGTTTCTTTGGGGTAACAGGGAGTCAATAACTAGTCCCAGCTAAAAGCAGTGCCTGCCTCCCCGATTTTACACTGGATCACCAGATTCCTCCCCAGTTTCCCCTACTTTTTATACAAATGCTCTTTGATGACATTTGTCAGAATGGGTGGGAGAGTCCCTGTGGGTAGGGGAGGGAAACGAGCCCCTTTGGGCATAGCATTAATGGATGGATGGAGCGCACAGGACAGTTTGGGAACAGATTACCACAGGAAATGTGCAGAATGGGAATGGGGGAGGGCGAGGACCCTAGAGATCTACACTAATAAAAGACAAAGATGCTAATTGACTGTACCTTTGCTACGCCCACCAGCCAATCAGAAGAGTATGCAAATTAACCCAACAAAGATGGCTGTTAAATTTGCATACTGTGATCTGCTGCCTGCCCCGCTGCTATCCAGGCCTGCCATCTGCAACCCAGTGTGGGATCCGGGCCTGCCATCTGGGACCCGGGGAGGTGGGGCAGGCACTGCGGGATTGGGCCTGCCCTCTGCCACCCAGGGAGCGGGCCTAAGCCAGCAGGTGGTTATCTCCCAAGGGGACCCAGACTGTGGGAGAGCACAGGTCGGGCTGAGGGACCCAACCCTCCCCCCCATGTGCCAGTGCACAAATTTTTGTGCACCGGGCCTCTAGTACTATAATAAAAAGGTCAGGTCTCTGCCCTAGCCCGTTTGCTCAGTGGAGAGAGCATCGGCCCTCAGACTGAAGGGTGCTGGGTTCAATTACACTCAGGGGCACATACCTTCAGTTGCAGGCTTGATGCTCAACCCTGGTTGGGGTGCCGTGGGAGGCAACCAATCGATGTCTCTCTCACCTCAATGTTTCTCTCTCTCTCTGCCTTTCCCCCTCCCTTCCACTCTCTCTAAAAATCAATGCAGAAATATCCTTAGGCGAGGATTAAAAACTAACAAAACCCACAAAATAAATAAGTATATTAAAAATACATATAAAAAACAAAGATTTAATGGACCTAGCCATTCAGGGAGTGTTGCTCATGGGTTTGGGGTTGGGTATTTGTCACTGAAGCCAAGTAGGAGATGTGGCACTAAGAAGAAGCTTATCTGTATTCTGAATTAAATAACAAAGCTTGTAAACCTAAATTTGAAGTTGTGCCCAGAGATTTCCAAATCTACAAAACTTAAAGCCCTTGCCAAAGTTTTTGAATCACAGTGTAGAGTCTAAATTCTATTTCCTCTATTGTTTTCTAAGATCCTATGAATCTGGCAAATAAAAAAAGTGATAATTACTCATATTTACCTCAATGCTGAGTTTCTCCCATATAGTGCTCTCCTTTACTTTGGGGACATTTTCATTTACATCATATTCATCTACAGCATCTGTTAGCTTCCAAGGAAACTTTATCATGAAGGTTCTAAGTTCATTAATGTAGCTGGTCAAAATGTTCACTCCTTTCTGTAGATGTTCATCTAACTCTATGGAAAACACCAACATAACAACTTCATATACACATAAAAATATGTGTGTGTATATATAGAGATAATATATCAACAGCTGTTATGAAAAATTCTAGAAAATGCCAAAATTCAAACTCAGTGTTTTTAAAATTTCAAACAAAAAAATCTGAGCTTTTTCCTATTTACAATTAGTTCTGTGATTTAATACAACCCCTCTCACAATGATTAGTCCTTTCTGCCAACTTTCCCAGTGTTAGAGCCCGTATCACTTACTTAGCTACATATTGATTTTACCCCACTTCAGTAAATGACACTCCATTGGCTTATTTACTCCCATGTAATACGCTCACTTATACCTCTGTTCTAACACAGGAATAGGAGAATTGCACCCTTCTTTGCTGCTATTCTTACCTTCACTGTGAATAAAAAGCTCCTTTATTTGCTTGTTAAGGAAGGACAGTGTAAGATTAAGTAATTGTTCTGAAAAGTTTTTGCTTTGGGTTTCAGAATTACTTTCTCTAATTGCTGAGCAAAGTAAATCCAATGCTGGTGTCAGCTCTTCCACATCTGAGAGAGAATGAAAGAAATTAATTAACATGAAGAACACCAGTATATTCCCAATAAAAACAACACGTCCAAAAATGCCATGTTGCAATATTTTAAAACATAAAACGAGGACTGCCCAACCAGTGTGGCTCAGTGGTTGAGCACCAACCTATGAACCAGGAGGTCACAGTTCAATTTCCAGTCAGGGCACGTGGCCCTGTTGTGGGCTTAATCCCCAGTAAGGGTCATGCAGGAGGTAGCCGATCAATGATTCTTATCATTGATGTTTCTATCTCTCTCTCCCTCTCCGTCTCCCTTCCTCTTTGAAATCAATAAAAATATATTTAAAAAAAAAGAACAAGGACTAATGTCTAATTCTCAAAAAAGCTCACAAAACTTTTATAAAATTTTACTATCTGCAAACTTTAGTGATTCTACTTACTACTAGTCATTATTTACTGGTACTGTATTACAGTAACTATCATTTTGCCACCTACTCTATCTTAAGTTTTATAAATGCTATATCATTTATTCCTTTCAACAACCTGAAAGGTAAATGTTACGGCTCCATTTCCATAGATGAGGAAACTAAGGTTCAGAAAGAATAAATAACTTGCCCAAGCTAATTTGGAAAGTAAGTAGCAGTCAAAATTTGAAGTTAAGCCTGTCTGATTCCAAAACCATTACCTTAAACATGCAGGTGAAAGCAAGGAATATGGGCCCCTGAATCTCCAATTTGTCAGCTATAGGCCCTAATAAAGTGATTCCTGTTTATCTCAGCATCAGCTCTAGGACTTTATCTGTGTGAGTGACACGGATGGGAAACATGGATTTCCTCTGGGAGAGCAGATAAAGCTATTCTCACGCTCCTTATTTCCCGACTCTTCCCCCTATCCTTTATGGCAGAGCAATGCAGGTGACAGTGAATTGATGAGAAATCACGGACCACCAAAAAGCAGTAGGTGTAACAACCATATAATCACTGATGGTCCATGCCACTCATCTACCTTAATCCCATGTGCCAAGACCTGTGAGGCTATCATGGCAGCCAAGAAGGAGCCACGGCAAGAAGAATTATTATTGGCAATATAACCACAACACAATTATTGGACTAATACAACATGATAATTTTCTTTAATATATATTTTATTGATTTTTTACAGAGAGGAAGGGAGAGGGATAGATAGTTAGAAACATCGATGAGCTAGAAACATCGATCAGCTGCCTCCTGCACGCCCCCTACTGGGAATGTGCCCACAGCGAAGGTACATGCCCTTAACCGGAATCAAACCTGGGACCCTTGAGTCCGCAGGCCGACGCTCTATCCACTGAGCCAAACCGGTTAGGGCAATATGATAATATTTTTTATGTATTAATCCTGTAAACCAAAAGTATAAATAAACATTATGAGCTGTTTGAACATAAGGATATTTCCTAAGCATGGGCAATTTTTTAAAATATGTTTTTATTGATTTTACAGAGAAAAGAAGGGAGCAGGAGAAAGAGAAATATCTATGTGAGAAAGAAACATCGATTGGTTGCCTCCTGCACACCCCCTATTGGGGATCATGTCCGTAATACAGGCATGTGCCCTAATCAGGAATTGAACCAGTGACATGTTGGTGCATGGGACTATACTCAACCAACTGAGCCACATTGGCCAGGGCGGTATGGAAATTTTTGACAGGATCAAATGTCAAGGACCATTTGGCATGAACCAATATGCTCATGGAAGTTTATGACAGGGCCAATATTCAAGGACCTTTGGATTTGGACCAAATGTCTCTGGATATTTTGGACAGAATCAAATGTTTGCTAATCCCATAAGTAATTAGCATATCTATTATTAACAAGAAAGATGTCTATAATATGTCATCAAGTAAAAACATTACCTATATATATAAAAGCCTAAGCGACCAAATGACCGAACGACTGGATGCTATGACGCACACTGACCACAAGTGGGCAGATGCTCAACGCAGGAGCTTCCCCCTGGTGGTCAGTATGCTCCCCCAGCGGGAGCGCCAGATGCAGGGCTCACGATTGGGGAACACAGCTGCAGCAGCATGAGCCTCTCCTGCCTCTGTGGCAGCGCTACCAAGCAGTGGCAGAGGCAGATGCAGTGGGGCTGCAACGAGTGGGAGCAGTGCGGCTCCTCCCCAGCTGCCTGCCACTTCACGCACTACTACATCCCCCGAAGGGTCCTGGATTGCAAGAGGGCGCAGGCCAGGCTGAGGTACCCCACCAGTGCACGAATCTGTGCACCAGGCCTCTACTAAGATTATAAACCTTTTGTATGGGGGAAACATACTTTGTTACCCTAGCCTCTGAGGATAGGATCTATATGGCCACCTGGCCCAAGAATAAAAGCTAGCTTTTCTGTTTATTAAAAAGGAAAGCCCAAATCTTGAAAAGCATTGGTAATACAGCAGATGAGTCAGGCTGAAAATTCTTATAACAAATCCCAATCCATAACTCAGCCAGCTGCACTGTCACTGTACATCCATACAGCTCTGCACTGTCACCGTACATCTCAGCCAGCTCTGCACTGTCACCGTACATCTCAGCCAGCTCTGCACTGTCACCGTACATCTCAGCCAGCTCTGCACTGTCACCGTACATCTCAGCCAGCTATCAGGCAGCTCTGCACTGTCACCGTACATCTCAGACAGCTCTGCACTCTCACTGTACATCTCAGGCAGCTCTGCACTGTCACTGTACATATCAGGCAGCTCTGCACTGTCACCGTACATCTCAGACAGCTCTGCACTCTCACTGTACATCTCAGGCAGCTCTGCACTGTCACTGTACATATCAGGCAGCTCTGCACTGTCACCGTACATCTCAGACAGCTCTGCACTCTCACTGTACATCTCAGGCAGCTCTGCACTGTCACTGTACATATCAGGCAGCTCTGCACTGTCACCGTACATCTCAGACAGCTCTGCACTCTCACTGTACATCTCAGGCAGCTCTGCACTGTCACTGTACATATCAGGCAGCTCTGCACTGTCACCGTACATCTCAGACAGCTCTGCACTCTCACTGTACATCTCAGGCAGCTCTGCACTGTCACTGTACATATCAGGCAGCTCTGCACTGTCACCGTACATCTCAGACAGCTCTGCACTCTCACTGTACATCTCAGGCAGCTCTGCACTGTCACTGTACATATCAGGCAGCTCTGCACTGTCACCGTACATCTCAGACAGCTCTGCACTCTCACTGTACATCTCAGGCAGCTCTGCACTGTCACTGTACATATCAGGCAGCTCTGCACTGTCACCGTACATCTCAGACAGCTCTGCACTCTCACTGTACATCTCAGGCAGCTCTGCACTGTCACTGTACATATCAGGCAGCTCTGCACTGTCACCGTACATCTCAGACAGCTCTGCACTCTCACTGTACATCTCAGGCAGCTCTGCACTGTCACTGTACATATCAGGCAGCTCTGCACTGTCACCGTACATCTCAGACAGCTCTGCACTCTCACTGTACATCTCAGGCAGCTCTGCACTGTCACTGTACATATCAGGCAGCTCTGCACTGTCACCGTACATCTCAGACAGCTCTGCACTCTCACTGTACATCTCAGGCAGCTCTGCACTGTCACTGTACATCTCAGGCAGCTCTGCACTGTCACCGTACATCTCAGACAGCTCTGCACTCTCACTGTACATCTCAGGCAGCTCTGCACTGTCACCGTACATCTCAGACAGCTCTGCACTCTCACTGTACATCTCAGGCAGCTCTGCACTGTCACTGTACATCTTAGACAGCCCCGAACTCTCACTGTACAACTCAGACAGTTGCAAGGGCACACAATATTTCAAATAAAAATTTTATTCTATTTTGTATAAAAACCTTCTGAATTTGAAAGAGCATCTCTTCCTTCATACTAAAAATATGAAACACAGTACAGGACATGAACAATAAACACCCCACTTAGAATGAGAACATTTATATGTTCTCACAACTCAAGTTTCCACAAACTAAATGAAATCTCATGACTGAATTTTGGTAAATAAATAAGTCATCAGAAAATACAATGATAATTTGGAAGTGATTAAAAAGATAAAATGAGCTGGCTGTGTGCTCAGTAGTTAAAGTGTCAGCTGATGCATTGAAGGGTCATGAGTTTGATTCCTGGTTAAGGGCACACACCTGGGTTGCACGTTCAATCCCTAGCCCCAGTTAGGGCACCTGCAGGAGGCAACCAATCGATGTGTCTTTCTCTCTCCCTCCTCCCCCCTTTCTCTCTCTCTCTAAAAAAAAAATCAATGAAAAAAATACCCTCAGGTAAGGATTAACAACAACAAAAAGGTAAAATACTAAACACAAATGTAGACATCTTTCTTTTACTTACTTCTTAAATATAATTGTGATGGAAAGTGATCAAACTGATCAGGTACAGAAGATTTGGGGGATGGATTCAAAAGGTTTTCCTTGCTCTTCAAAAAGAAATCTACTGTGTCCAGCTGACGATTTTCTATTCCTGCCTAAAATGGGAGAAAAAAATTACAATAGGAAAAAAGGCGGGGAACAAAAAAATATTTTTAAACTTCAGAACTTAAATGTGCTGAGACTGAAGACACAAACCTATTTTTATCTTGCTCCAGGAGTACCTGGGTTCTAGTGAGGATTCTGACAATGACTAATTATGCAATCTGGGGCAAGTGTCTGTAACCTTTCTGAACATTAGTTTCTGCTTCACCAGAAACAGAAGGTTAGATGAAAACACCTTTCCAGCTCTACTACTGTTCTATAATCCTAAAACAATTCAATGCTAGGTCCTTGTGGATCACCCTTACAATTATGTTACAGTCTATTTGAATTAACATGTTAAAGCAGTATGATATAAAGTTAACTGAAAAGCAGGCTAAAAAAAGACTACCAGTTCTGACTAGGTATCTTGAGGAGCCTCTCCATAGAGAATATTTAGAAATCACAGATGTAAAAATGTGTCTGTGTGAATCTTTAAATGTTCAGTTGAACAAGAAAGAGAGAAAAATTCTCATGGGATAAAAGCAAATTTTCCTTTCCCCCTATTACTCAAACATTCTACAATGATTATTTTGCAGTTTATAAAAGTAAATTTTTCAATATATGGAACATGAAAAAGAATTAAGTCGGGATTCTTCCTTTAAGTTGGATTCCTTCCTTATACCAATACAAAAATTAATCAAAATGCATCATAGACCTAAAATGTAAGAGTTAAAACTATAAAATTCATAAGAGTAAGTCTCAGATTAGGCAATGGTTTCTTAGATGTGATACCAAAAGTACAAGTGACAAAAAAATTTTTTTTGACCATCAAAATTAAATAAAAACTTGTGTTTCAAAGAACACCATCAAGAAAATGAAAAGAAAATCCACAGAATGGGAGAAAATACTTACAAATCTTACATCTCATAAAGGTCTATAATCCAGGACATGTAAAGAACTCTTAGAGCCCTAGCCTGTTTGGCTCAGTGCATAGAGCATTGTCCTGTGGACTGAAGGGTCCTGAGTTCAATTCCAGTCCAGGGGCACAAACCCAGGTTGTGGGCTCAACCCCAGTGGGGGGTGTGCAGGAGGCAGCCGATCAATGATTCTCTCTCATCACTGATGTTTCTCTTTCTCCCTCTTCCTTCTTCTCTGAAATCAATAAAAACATGCTTAAAAAAAGAACTCTTAGAACTCAACAATAACACAAATAACTCATTTTAGAAATGGACAAAAGATTTAAATAGACATTTCTCCAAAGAACTAGATATACAAATGGCCAAGAAGCACATGAAAACATGTTCAACATCATTAGTCATTAGCAAAATGCAAATCAACATCACAATGAGATACCACTTCATTTTGACTTCGCAACCACTAGAATGGCTATAACACAAAAGGTGAACAGTAAGTGATGACAAGGATGTGGAACTACCATTGGAACCCTCATATATTGCTGGTGGGGCTGTAAAATAGTGCAACTGCTGTGGAAATAGCTTGGTGGTTCTTAAAAAGTTAAATGGCCCAGCTGTATACCCAAGAGAAAGAAAAACATAGAATGACACAAAAACTTACATCACTGTTCATAGCAGGATAATTCATAATAGCCCAAAAGTGGAAACAACTCAAACATCTATCAACTGATGAATGGACAAACAAATGTGACATATTCATATAATGAAACATTATTCAGCCATGAAAAAGAATGGAGTACTGAAACATACAACCTCATGGATGAACCCTGAAAACATGCTAAGTGAAAAAATGCAATCACAAAAATCCACTTAAATGAAATGTCTAGAAAAAGCAAATCCAGAGACAGAAAGTAGGTTCATGTTTGGGACTCAGGGTCCTTAAGGAATAGGAAGTGACTGCTAATAGGCAGAGTTTCTTTTTGGGGTCATGAATATGTTCTGGAATTAGACAGTGATGATGGCTGCACAACTCTAAATATATTAAAAATTACTGAACTGTAGATGGATGAATTTTATGATATTTAAATTATCTACACTAATAAAAGAGAAATATGTAAATTGACCATCACTTCGCAATGCCCACCAATCAGGAGTGAGTATGCAAATTAGCGAAACAAAGATGACAGTGGCCACAGAGCCAGCCAGAGCGGGCAGGAAGCCTGGGTTGCCCCCGGTGATGGAGGAAGCCAAGCTTCCTGCCAGCCCTGGCTGGCCACTGAAGAAGGGGCCTGTGGACAGCTGCCACAGAGCTGGCCTGAGCACGGGAGGCTTAGGTCACCTGGGCCAGCCGCCAAGGGAGGGAGCTGCAAACGGCCCTCAGCCCCTTACCCAGGCTGGACACGCCCCCGTGGGGTGAGGGTCCTGCTGGGGGCGTGGCCAGCCTGCAAACAGCCATCAGCCCCTCACCCAAGCTAGCCAGACACCCCAGCGGGGAGCCCCCACCCTGCAGGCAGTTGGGGGCAACCAGGCTGGCACGGGAGGGCAGTTGGGGGCGAGCAGGCCCGCAAGCAGAGTGGTTAGGGGCAATCAGGCAGGCAGGCAGGTGAGCAGTTACGAGCCAGCAGTCTCAGATTGCAAGAGGGATGTCCGACTGTCCCTGGGGATTGGGCCTAAACCGGCAGTCGGGCATCCCCCGAGGGGTCCCAGATTGGAGAGGGTGCAGGCTGGGCTAAGGGACCTCCCCCCCCCGTGCACAAATTTCATGCACAGGCCCACTAGTATCTCAATAAAGCTGTCATTAAAAAAAAAAACTGGCACAGAACATTATTAACTTCTACTTTTCATCCTTTCAGGGCCTGTGTGATATAGTAGAAAGTGCCCTGACTTTGATTCTAGCTCCTGTCTTTATTAGTATGGCTATGGGCCACTCACTCAACCATTCTGAGCCTTAGGATTTTCATTCATAAAATAAAATGAATGAAAATTACCCAACTGATCTCATGTGGTTAATTTTAGGAAAAAATTAGATAGTACAATTAAAAAGAGTGTTTAAAAACTAAAATATGCTATAAAAATTCAGGTGATGTTTCTATAGCTGGATTATAATAGTAGGACTACCAGGTAGGAATAAAAGATTACTCCTGTTCAAGCTTTCTATAGCTTGCTTCTACTTTGTTTAATCTCATTGGCTTATTGTTGCTTCTATTTCTTGTACCTTTTGTTTCCTTAAATAGTGTTTATTATAATCTTATATCTTTTAAAGCCAAAAAGTGTACACTGCTAAGCAGAATTAGGGTAATGAAATAACCAGAACTAAGCAAACAGATGGATAAAGACTATAAGTTTTTTGTTGTTGTTTTTTTATTGCTCCTAGGTTAAGTGAATTCTCCCAAATCTTCAGTCATATAAGAGTACGGTGGGGCCCTGACTTACGAGTTTAATTCGTTCCGTGATGGAGCTCGTAACTCAAATTACTCATATGTCAAATCACTGGGACGTTTGCTGCGCCAACTAGCGGTGGGGTATCTGAAGCTGGCTCGTAACCCAAATTTTAGCTCGCAACTCAAAGCAAAAAATCGGCCGAGAGACGGCTCGTATCTTGAAAAACTCGTTAGTTGGGACACTCGTAAGTCAAGGCCCCACTGTATATGACAGGATATAAAGTTCTACAGAATTTAATTGTTACCTCTAGTGCATGTATGGGGATTGAGCACCTGCCCCAATCATTGAGATGGCAGAGAGTGTCCACAGTGCTGGCACTTCCATGGATCATTAGTCTATTTAAAAACTCCTCTTGGGTCAAACCAAACAAAATCAGAGAGAGTCCATTTTCTACGTGAAAAATAAAAGTTAGCTTTAATAAATTAGTAGGTATGCTCTGGTTTCTCTTCAGATCGCATAAATCTTTCGCCTTTTACTAATAAATTAGTAGGACTTAGGCTTTAGGATTATGGCAGGAATTAATTTCTAATTATCCAATACTTCAGAACTAATTATAAGTATATTTATTGGACACAAGGTACTATTATGACCGTAATTAATTCATCATGATTTTTCAATGTTGTTAAAGTGTTCTATTTTTAAAACACTGACCAAAAGGCAATTCTAGTAAGAACATTGCCATCTATGAAATAGCACTAAATTTCACTTTTTTACTTTGTATTATCTTGCACAATCAATACCTGGAATCCTTAACTATTTAAAAAGATGTCACATTTCTGGTTTACTAAGTAAAACAATTACTAGCATGCTCTTAACACACAGAAATATATGATTACCAAAAGTGGGGTACTAAAGACACAGGGTTAGTTCAATCATAACATTCACTTAGAGAATAGAGGAGGCACTAAAACCACCAGGGTAGCAGAAGTAAAACACATTAAAAGAAAGCGCGTCTTCTCAGCAATAGACAACCCGATACAAGACATTCTCACCTGTCAAAACAAGGCACAGTTGCTGGTCTCCACTGTTATCTATAGGAATACACCTTTTGCCAAGGGAAAAGCACTGTATGCCCTCGATCTCCAAATCCCAAAGGACAATGGTACAGCCCATCTTTCCTACTGTCCAGGCAAACAGGGCAGTGAATCCAGTCACAGACACACATCTAAGCTCGATGGGTTCCTCTTGTTCGCTGATGTGCATTATTTTCCATGCTCTTCCTGGATCACTGGTCTTGGCATGACTTTTCTGAGGAAAACTATGCTGAGTGTGCATTATGTCCTGTGGAATGAAGGCCCAACCTGGCACATTGGTGCAATGGTGATTAGAGTCAGGGTACTCCAAATGCAAAATATCCTGGAACCATGGGGCACAGTGGGAAACCTCCATTGTGGAGCTCTTTATTGTTTCATTCAATGATAATAGCTGGGCTTTCCAAGACCTGGAAGACAGGGTAGAACCCACACCTGTTACAAGCGAAAGGCACTAATTAAGTAACACACTGAACAAGGAATAAAGTGCACTTTTTAAAAAAAGTGTCTATTTCTGACAACAATGAAAATAATAAAGTAAATCCAAAAAGGGTTTCTGTACCTATCAACTTGGAAGGAAAACTTGGTCAGTTTCATGTTGTAGTCAGAATTCACAGGATCGTCTTCGTCTATCCCCTTAGGACCTTCAATAGGGATATCTTCTAGAGTTTTTTCACAAAATAGGTGTCCTGGGTGTTGCCTACATTTTAAAATAATAGGCACAGTCAAAAATGATGATCAAATCCAAATCTGTTACTACCACTCCAGCTAAAAATGGGGGGCGGGGGGTAGTGAGGGTATCACAGAGAAGGGACAGTGCAGACAGTAAGTTTCCCTAAACAGGGAAACTGTTAAACTCCTTCTTATCTCTATTCTTACAGCAGAATTATAGTCAGCCTTAAGAGTTTTCCCTTTTGTAACTATGTATGTTGATGGATGTTAACTAGATTTACTATGGTGATCATTTTGATAGCTAGCTAGATAGATGGATAGGGTCATTATGCTGTACACCTGAAACTAATATGATGTTATATGTCAATTTTATCTGAATTTTAAAAAAGAATATGACCCTTAAGGGCAGTTAGCTTTATAAAGATATAAGAGCATTTACTGTCTACTATATTGCAGATGTAATAAAAACTTTATATAAATTATCTTATCCAAGCCTTTAAACAACCCTAAGAAATAAATATGCTCTCATTTTATAGATACGTAAACTAAGGCTCAGAGAAACAGTGGCGCTGGAAAACACTATAAAGGCTTTTAAGCATTCCCTTTATCGACACCATTAAGACAGGGAAAGGCATAAAAACTAGGAGACAAAGCAGGAGTGTGGGAGAGTACGTGCAGAGAGAGGGCTGTCATGTTTGAGAAACACAAAGAAGGCTAAGGTGGCTAAAGCATAGTGAGTGAGAAGCAAGGTGGTGTGAGATGAAATTGGAGAGGTTGGCAGGACAGATGGTGCAGAGCTTTATGGGTTATTAAGGACTTTTAGTTTGTAGCTTGGGGAGGGGAAAAGGAAGCTAAATAAGGGCTTTAGGCAGAGGAGTGATATGGTCAGATGCAAAAGAGTAGCTGGGTTGAAAAAGGGATGCATTTAAACCCCAGGTACTTAGTTAAATTATTAACTATTAACCCTTTCAACAATTTGAAGGTAGTATATAGACATGGATTTGTCAAGGAGATGATGAAAATAAGTTATAGAAGGAAGGATGGCCGAAACCGGTTTGCCTCAGTGGATAGAGCGTCGGCCTGCGGACTGGAAGGTCCCAGGTTCGATTCCGGTCAAGGGCATGTACCTGGGTTGCGGGCACATCCCCGGGGGGAGATGTGCAGGAGGCAGCTGATAGATGTTTCTCTCTCATCGATGTTTCTGACTCTCTGTCTCTCTCCCTTCCTCTTTGTAAAAAATCAATAAAATATATTTTTTTAAAAAAAGAAGGAAGGATGATAGTGAAAAAAAGATGATACATGGAGAAGGTGTATATACCCTGTCCCCAGATGTTAATACCTGGATATACCTCTTATAAGATTTTAACAACATCACTGATTGCTCTATAGAGGATGGGTCTGAGGGGGTAAGAACAGACATGAGGAGACCAATCTCAAGGCTGTTAAGCTAGTTCAGGTAGGGGACGATAGTGGCATGACGACAGAGGAGTTAAGTGAACAGATTTAAGAAACATTTGTAACAATAGAATGGCTAGGATCTCATGATTATCTGGATGTAATACTTAAGAGGTTGAGAAAAAAAAAGAGGTTGGAAATATAAAAAAGAGGAAATGGAAAACGGTCCCTGAGGAGGAAAGAAGTGAAATTCAGAGCACACACAGAGGGATGGGCTTTCATAGGAGGCGGAAATCCTTCCATTGTAATAGGAGGGAAGACAGACTAGATGGATAAAGAAAAGAGGGTTTGTAATTTAATGTGAAGAAATTTAATGGGATCTACTCCTTTATAAAGCAGGAAGCAAAGTCACCCAAGAAGAGGTGGAAATAAAGAGGTGAATAAAAGGTTTGAAGAAAATGGAAGCTTAACAACATTGTTGTAAAAAATGGGCTCACAACAAATGTAATACTTTCAACAATAAAGATTTTTAAAAACTTAGTTGAAATGAAAAGAAAATGGGCTCACAAAAAAAAAATCATTGCAAAATTTCTAGGTAATATTGAGAGACCAGTTGAAGGTCCTGAATGTGAACTTACAATGGTATCAATTTTTCTTTGTGATTTTCACACAAGTGTTTAGTTGCTTGGGTGCAGGGACTACAAAGGCAGAGTTTAAAAAAAAAAAAAAGATTTTGTCAGACCGAGTGCTACCATAGGGCAAGAGCAAGAGTTTTCAGTGTGTGCAAAAAAAAAAAAAAAAAAAAAAAAAAAAAAAGACTTAAATACTGGATCACAGGACTACTGCTGAAAAAAATAGGGAAGTGAAGACAGGAGTGGGCTGGAAGGTGGAAGGTAAATTAATTGGAAATTCCAATGAGGTCATATGACAGATGAAGTGGGAGTACTTGAGTATGTGAGCTGGAAAATTTGGTATGTGTGGTCAATGAGTGAGATGTGTAGAACAGTGATTTGAGGGAAGAGCAGTTCCAAATAATGACAAAGTCCAGGGTATGACTATGAGAGTGGACAGCTAAGGTAAACTGGAAGAAAAAGTCACTGAGAAAACAAACCATGAGTTTGGGTTCTCAAGGAGCTTCCAAGCTCTATTGGAAGCATAAAAAAATTAGGGAACTAATACAAGACTATACAATTAAGTGCTAGATGGTAGTTCAAAATAGAAGCTCAAAGAGGAAAATTACAAAATGAGTATAAAATTACAAGAGGAAGGGATTTTTATTAAGGAAAGGCTTCATGAAAGAGGTGGATAGCAAAGGACTTAAGAAAATGAAAAGAAGGGACTAACATTCTGTATCAGGGGAAAGAAGAGCCAGAGCCATGAGGCAGGAAAGACAGAAACACTTAGATTTCAGAGCACACTTACAAAACAAGCAGTAAACTCCAAAGGACTTATACTAATTAAAGAGCATTTATGTAAATCTATATATACAAAAGCCTAAGCAACCGTTACAACTGGTGGACCCAACGACTGGTTGACCATTAGCTATGATGCACACTGACCACCAGGGGGCAGACACTCAATGCAGGAGCTGCCCCCTGGTGGTCAGTGTGCTCCCACAGCCAACCTCCTGCAGCCAGCCAACCTCCCATGGTCCCTCCCCCAAGCTGGTCGTCCCCAAATCACCGGCCAGGCAGAACGATCCCACCCATGTAATTAATAAACAGAAATCACTCGTTTAGCTGGACAGAACAGATTCCTAAATGTACTGCAGGAATCAGGATAAAAGTTGCCCTTACATGGCTGAGTTCAAGGAAATTTGTTCAAAAGGAATGTGCCTGGTGCCCTCTTCAGAGTTCTCTCAGAGTGCTGCCAGAGGAATAGAACCCTACACTCAAGGACCAGAGTGGCCGTGTAGGCTTTCTTCCCTCCACCTGCCAAATTGTTTTTACTGATGATCAGGAGGTAACTACACATACAGGTATGCTTTAGTAAGTAAAAATGGCCTATTAATAAACAAGCACACAATCTGGGAATATGCTAATCATCCCTATTCAAAGATTTTTAAAAATATATAATAAAATAAATCACAGTGATGAGTGCTGATAGGTATGTAAAAATGAATTTATCATTTTTTTGTGATCCAATAAGCAATAAAACCCATCAAGGTACATTACAATTACAAGGATTTGTTCATCTCATTCATATTAAGTTAGGACCAAAAATCCTAAATGATTTTGAATGGCCCTAAATACTAAAATTCCTAATTGTGGATTGGCTGACTTTCAGATAAGCAAGTTGCAATATATAGGCTACTCTGTGTTTGTGTGAGCACAGACGCACACACATACACACCCCTGTCAAATATTATAAAATCAGAAGCAACTAGAATACCACCTAAATCAAGAAACAACACAAATAAGCACTCAATTTTACTAATATATTAAGATAGCCAAAAGGGTGGCCTCTCCAAGGGAAACACCTGAGGAAATCCTCAGGTGGAGAAGGTTAGCTTACTGTATCTTGTCAAACTCCTTTAAGAGGAAAGTAATGCCCAAAGAAGCCGCTGAGCCACGCACGTTAGGAGTCCTAACACAGGGGAAATCCCATTTCTCTTCCACTCTAATGTGAGGCAAGAGGGAAGTAGACAATGTATAATAGCCAAGGGCTTTTAAAATCGTGCCTGATTACTTTTTCACTTCTATAATGACATAAGCCATATATAATAACATATATAAATCAAAATGAAGAATTTTATATACACCCAGAAAAAAAAAGATAATCAGTGGCCCGGCTAGTGTGCCTCAGTGTTTGAGCACTGACCCATGAACCAGGAGGTCACAGTTCGATTCCCAGGCTCGAGTTTCAGGCTTAAAGTAGTGAGTGTACAGGTGGCAGCCAATAGATGATTTTCTCTCATCATTGATGTTTCTATCTCTCTCCTTCTCCCTTTCTCTCTGAATCAATAAAAACATATTTTAAAAAAAAGGTAACTAGTAGTCATTTGCACCCATTATTATACAATAACAACCTGACTATGTAGTAGCTACAATATGACCTAACTGAATAGAGGAAGAAAACTATTATTAAGGAAAAGTTAACAAATACATTTTTAACCTGTTATGGCTCAAATTATTTACCTCAAATTAGAGATTACAGTAATTTACATACCTGAAATACAAATTCAAGTTAAGAGCAATTGCAGAGCTGGAGGAGCTGACAATCACAACAACATCTAGGTCTTGAGACACTTTCAGTGAAGTAAAGGAAGAAATCTTGGCTGGCTCCTGTTGCTGCTCATCACACATGTCTTCTTGGTGAAGTGCTAAATCCACATGAGCTACACGTGTACCACCCACAATGTCGAAAATGTCTTTGAGTTAGAGTTAAAGAAAATGCCAGTCTTAAGTATGCCTAATCATTTAAACCACAGGATGGCTAGAGATCCAACCTTGTAAGTACAGGACACTGAAGCTGCCCATATCATAGTAACCAGATGACTATGAAGTTGGCGGCCCAATAAACAACCTGATAGAGTTCATCTAATAATACTTGCTGAATGCCCACTCTGAGCAGGCGCTGAGACACTAGTGATATTTTTCCACTAGTATTCTACAACAGTACTGTCCAAGAAAAATATATGCAAACCACATTTGCCATTGTAAATTTTCTAGTAGCCTTATTTAAAAAGTAAAAAGAAATCTGTGAACCTAATCTTAATAATATAATTTACTTAACTCAATATATCCAAAATATCATCTCACCATGTAATCAGTAAAAAAATTGAGATATTTTACATCCTTTTTTTCATATAAGTGTTAGAAATCTGGTATTTTACACTTAAAGCATATCTTAATATGGACACTAAATTTTCACTGAAAATACCTGATCTGTATTTAGACTTCATAAAATTTACATTTGAGAACTTGGAACAACCAAAGTTGTTCCAAACATACTTAAAAGTTCTCCAATAGCTGAACCAAGCATTAGCTTTTAACTAAAGTAATTAAATACAATTAAGAATTTAGTTCCTCAATCATACTAGCCAATTTCAAGTGTTCAAAGCCACATATGCCTAGTGCTATGTTGAACAGTGGAGTTCTATAATCTGGCAACAAAAATGATGTTAATCCAATAATTTGACATTTGTATAAAAAGTTTTAATAGAGGCTGATATATCTAAAAACACACGCACACACACAACACCTATTCCTTTTAGAAAATAAGGTTCCAAAATCACATAATAGGTCATTTTTTCAAGCCTTTGAAATAATATTGCTGATGACCTATGGATCTGCTAAAGATAAAAAGCCCATAATATTTTCCAAAAATAAATAAAAGTGGTTAAGCAAATCATATGATTCAATAATATGATGGAATCATTACTTGTGATGAGTGGGCATATTATATCATAAGTGGTCATCTAAAACTTTCCTGGAACAAGAACAAAACAGATATTTAATAATCATATTTGAATAAATGGATAATGCAGAGTATACACAATTTAAAAGGAACACACATAAGTTAGATGATTATGACTATGAAAAAACTTGTGTATACAATGAAAAGTATTTGAATGGATTATGAATATCGTTATGTTAAGTTCATGAAGATCTTTTTCCCTGCAGTTTTTTTTTACTGAAAAAGTAACCAGCAACCTACACCCAAGTTCCTTAAAACTAAAAGCCTAATAGGGTTTACTTTCTAGGTATTCTCCTCCCCTGTACATCAACATTTTTGCCACCAAGGATACAGATCCAGCCTAAACTACTCAAAACAAAAAGAATTCCTCTGCAGAGCTGCATGTCAATAATACTGTCCACAGCCTGTGCAGGCAAGCATAATGTGCAATAGTTGAGTACTCTCATCTCGGCATCGCTTCCAGGAAACATGATGTGCAGGATGATACATTTGTTGATGAGCAATAATGATGTGTTATTGTGAAATGACAGAATTCTCAAAGTTAATAAGGAAATACCTATGAAACAAAAGAATAGTATTTCAAACTCATTGGTCACATTGTTACAATGGGCAAATTTGACTTTGTAAAACCTAACACAAACAGGTAAAACAAACAAAAAACACACCACTTAACTCAATCCAACTCTAGGCAGTTATTATTCATACCTACCTAAGCAAGTGGATATTGAAAGGTAGGTAAGGGGATGAATAAAGATGATCTAATGCAGTGGTTCTCAACCTTCCTAATGCCGTGACCGTTTAATACAGTTCCTCATGTTGTGGTGACCCCAACCATAAAATTATTTTCGTTGCTACTTCATAACTGTAATTTTGCTACTGTTATGAATCGTAATGTAAATATCTGATATGCAGGATGTATTTAGGCGACCCCTATGAAAAGGTCATTCGACCCCCAAAGGGGTTGCGACCCACAGACTGAGAACCGCTGGTCTAATGTCTCTTGTTCCTTGTGTTATGACCATTCTGACAGCACAACAGAAGTTTCAAAAAGCGTACTTACTACCCATGAGACCCCACAAGAATAATCACAGACTTTTTTAAAAAATGCAAAAGAAGGGTTAGGCCCGTGTGCCTCAGTGGTTGAGCATCAACCCATGAACCAAGAGGTCACTGGTTTGATTCCCGATAAGGGCACATGCCTGGGTTGTGGGCTTGATCCTCCATGGGGGGCGTGCAGGAGGCAGCTGGATGGATGTTTCTCTCTCATCGATGTTTCTATCTTCCTATCCCTCTCCCTTCCTTTCTCTAAAATCAATAAAAACATATTTTTTGGGGGAAAAAAGGAACCTTAAAATCAAAGGTGGCAAATATGCTACTGCCTTAAAAATAGAAGCCCAAGTGCCTTGATTTCTGCTCCCTGCAGCTCTCAGAATGGGACATAGTAAAGAGCTCTGTAACCAGTCTTAGATCAGCACTATCCAATAGAAATATAATGTCAGCCAAAAATGCAAGCCACATGTAGTTTTAAACCTTTTAGTAGTAGCTGCATTGAAAAAAAAGTGAAATTAATTTTAATATATATTACTTAACTCATTATATCCCAAAATATTTCGACATATAATTAATACAAAAAACCTATTAATGAGATATTTTACTTTTTTTGTACTAAGTCTCCAAAATCTGGTATGTATTTAACACTAAAAGGACAAGTGTTCAAGAGCCCCAAGTGGCTAGTGGGTAGTATTGGACAGGCAGGTCTCCCACACTGATTTCACATATATAAGAACCTTTCCTGAAATACACAAAATTACACAGTAATGCCACTGATTTAAATATGTTGAAAGCGCACCTGTAAATACTTACTGATATTTTGATCTTCAATGAGCTTTTGCAAAGCCTCCTCACTACAGTTATACAAAATGGTTCCATCACATCTTCCATCTTTCAAATTAAATTCATAGATGAGCAACTCATTATTTTCACTAACAGCGAGCAGTCTGGGCTTGTCTGTTGGTGTGCTGCTGTTATGAGAATCCTCCCACACAAAGCTAAGGAAAAAATTTACATTATTTTTTATATTCTCTATCTACAATAATATTTACCCACAATGGTGAGATTGGAAGAGCAGAATGAACAGAGAAAAGTTCTTTAGTTCACCTGGTAGCATTAATTCTATATCCAATTTAAGAGAAAGTAAACTGCATTAGGACTTCCTACCTCTTCCCCCTCAGCCTCTTCACACCAGCACAAGAATATAGAAGTGGGTGGTGAAAAGGAGGCATGGAGCAAGAAATGACGTCTGCTTTTATTTCTTCATCCTAAATCCTGACTGATGATATATTTAAAAGAATTGTTTGCCGAAACCGGTTTGGCTCAGTGGATGGAGCGTCGGCCTGCGGACTGAAGGGTCCCGGGTTCGATTCCGGTCAAGGGCATGTACCTGGGTTGCACGCACTTCCCCAGTGGGGGATGTGCAGGAGGCGGCTGGTTCGATGTTTCTCTCTCATTGATGTTTCTAACTCTCTATCTCTATCTCTCTCCTTTCCTCTCTGTAAAAAATCAATGAAATATATTTTAAAAAAAAGAAAAGAATTGTTATGATCAAAGGTAAATTTCAACAACCAAGTATGTAGATTATTTAAATGAGGTAGTGCTCACAATTAACAAACTAAGTTTTACTAACTTAAATGCTTTCAACTTTAAAAAAGAAAGTGATTATTTGTATTAATAGATCTTAAGACTCCAGAATAGTTCTGTCCAAAAGAACTCTGTGATGATAGAAGTGTTCTATATATCAGCACTGTTCAATACAGTAGCCAACGGCCACATATGGCTACTGAGCAGCTGAAATGTGAGTAATGCAACTGCGGAAATGAATTTAAATTTTTAAGTCACATGTGGCTAATGGCTACCATGCTGGACAGAGCAGTTACAGAATTTTTAAAGCAGTGCAGTGTCAACATAAGAACACTGGCTAACAAGGATGGAAAGAGACTAATGATGCTATAGCTTCAAGTTAAATATTCAAATTAAATTACATTTAGCACTGGTGGATTGCTCAGTGGTTAGAGCATCCAACCTTGCACTGAGGGGTCTGGGGTTCAATTCCAGTCAAGGGCACATACCTTGGTTGCTGGTTTGCTCCCCGCCCCCACTTGGGGCGTGTGAGGGAGGCAACCTGCCCATGTGTCTCACATTGATGTTTCTCTCTCTCTACCCCGCTTCCACTCTCTCTGAAAAGCAATGGAAAAAATATCCTCATGTAAGGATTAACAAAAGTAAAAATTTTTTTTAAATTAAATGATTTTTAAATCATTTAAAAACATCAAAGGGCCCCAATTCTGAAAACAATGCAATGGAATGAAAAGAGACTTCCACAGTAAGTCTCATTTTTTTTTTAAATTTAATATTTTAAATTAAATTTTTTACAGAGAGGAAGGGTGAGAGATAGAGAGTTAGAAACATTGATGAGAGAGAAACATCGATCAGCTGCCTCCTGCATATCTCCTACTGGGGATGTGGCTGCAACCAAGGTACATGCCCTTGACCAGAATCGAACCTGGGACCCTTCAGCCCGCCGGCTGACGCTCCATCCACTGAGCCAAACCGGTTAGGGCAAAAGTCTCATCTTTTAAAAAAAGCTTTTTTCTACCAAAGTAGTAAGTTTTATATCTACAAAAATTGGACTTTGGTGCTATAATGTCCTTATCAGAGAAAAAGATTAACACATTGCATATTTCTAATCCTATAGCTAGACTGATGATTTTTTTTTAACAACCAATTCCTGACTGTTTACATTGAAATTTGGAAAACAATATAAAGATTTTGTTGCTTAAACAACAGATATTTATTTCTTACAGTTCTGGAGGCTATAAACCCAGAAACAAGGTGCCAGCAGAGTGGTTTCTGGTGAGGTAGCTCTTCCTGGCTTACTAACGGCCACTTTCTTGCTGTGTCCTCACATGGCTATTACTCCTTGTGCTTGGAGAGAGAGATCTCTGGTGTCCCTTCTTCTTATTATTAGGATGCCGATGCTATAGAATTAGAACCCCACTCTTATGACCTCATTTAACCTTAATTACCTCCTTAAGGGCTCCTCAATCTTCAAAAACACTCACATGGGTAGTTAAGGTTTCAACATACAAATGTCAGGGAACACACACTTAGTGCTTAAGACTGCCATGCCACGGGAAGGCAGCCAGTTAAAAAGATGTCATCTCTCTCATTCTGCCTCCCCAATATAAATGTTGAATATGAAAAACGTTCCACAAATTAAGATACATTTAAAGGGCAGCACACTGTGACACCATTAACATCATTAGCACATGGGCTACATTAGCATGTGGGAAGGCAAAATTTTCAATGAAAATATAGAATGTACAGTGATTGCAACAATATAAAAGAACGATGTATACTTTGAGAAAAGTAGGATATAAACCCTGAATACTAAAAATTTGCCCTTATTTTTACTCTGTGAAGTACTTTAATTCAATTAAATGCAAGTAAGAAAGCTTCTCTTGACCTACCCCCTCTACTAATTTCATGCAGAAGCTTATGCATGCCCCATTAATTCTCTTATCTTCTGTTAAGTTCTCCAACACCTAAAGCGTTCTGCTTTTCACTGCCTCATCCCTGGATTTACAAAGTTCTGTTCACAGGGCACTTAATATTGCTGAATAAACTTACTTCCCCTGGGGAGACTTTCCTAGCAGCCAGAGGTCAGGAAGAAGGCACACACCGGACAGATGAAAGCATTGGCCGACTTAACGCCTCTCCCATGTGAGTCACTGTCGTGGAGCCTGGAGATCCCCAGGGAAGGCACCTCCTGACTCCCCAAGGCTTTAAAGAGCTGCTCGTTTCCAAAACGTTTTCTATGATAAAAAGAGCCCGAAGACTCCGAGGGAACTACCAAACTGAATGATTTTAAAAACTAAGTCCTGGACCGAGGGTCACAAAATGGAAAGTCATAGTACACGACTGTAACGCTTGTCTTCCCCTGCATTCCTGAACCGTGCCAGCCTCACAGGGGACTGTCTTCCTCAACTAGTGAGGCATGGCCCCGAGGTCACAGTCAGCGCACAGGAACGCACGCTGCGTGAATAAGCGAGCGGGACACACTACCACTTCTGTGCAAAAGAGTTCTTTTGCACAGAACTATTCTGGAGTCTTAAGATCTATTAATACAAATAGATCTCAACCTCTGGCCCTTTAAATACAGTTCCTCCTGTTGTGACCCAACCATAAAATTATTTTCGTTGCTACTTCATAACTGTAATGTTGCTACTGTTATTAATAGTAATGTAAATATCTGATATGCAAGATGGTCTTAGGCGACCCCCGTGAAAGGGTCGTTCCACCGCCAAAGGGATCGCGACCCACAGGTTGAGAACCGCTGCGTGACTGGGCTCTCTGTCCTGGAAGAAGGCGGGGAAGCCCGTAGGTGACGGAACTCGCTCTGTATCAGGGGCAAGCAAAGGGTCCCAATCCAGATGAGCCCAATCCAACATCACCCCAGCTGCTATCGTCAGCGGACTTCACTGGAAGGAGAAAATGCGCAAGATGCACGGCACAAGGACGATTAGCCGAACTTCGCCCAGTGACTAGAGGCGGCGCCGCCCCGCCCACCCGGAACTGGGAGGCGAGGGTGCAGACCCGCAGCCGAGCGAGAAAGGTTCCGCGAGGG